GGTCAGTCAGTGTTGGAGAGTAACTGGTTAGGTCAGTCAGTGTTGGAGAGTAACTGGTTAGATCAGTCAGTGTTGGAGAGTAACTGGTTAGATCAGTCAGTGTTGGAGAGTAACTGGTTAGATCAGTCAGTGTTGGAGAGTAACTGGTTAGGTCAGTCAGTGTTGGAGAGTAACTGGTTAGATCAGTCAGTGTTGGAGAGTAACTGGTTAGGTCAGTCAGTGTTGGAGAGTAACTGGTTAGGTCAGTCAGTGTTGGAGAGTAACTGGTTAGATCAGTCAGTGTTGGAGAGTAACTGGTTAGATCAGTCAGTGTTGGAGAGTAACTGGTTAGATCAGTCAGTGTTAGAGAGTAGCTAGTTACCTTAGTGTTGGAGAGTATCTGGTTAGATCAGTGTTAGAAAATCGCTAGTCAGATCACTCAGTGTAGGGAAGTATTGTGTAAAGTCACTCAGTGTTGTGGAGCAGCTGGTCACCTCACTCAGAATAATATATTTATAAGCACACAATTACTTAAAACGTCATACTTGAGGCGTGAGTTTGATGTCTTTAATACAGACACAAGACACTTGTTCAGGGTTTTAGTCAGGTATTGCTACCTCGAAAGGATCGGGATAGATACTTTTGCTTGGGATAGATAGATAGTTTAGCTAGAAATGCATCAGACTATTTTTAAGTCGCAAGTATATATTAGTCCGAACTATTTTTATCTTTTTAATTTTTTTAGAAACCATTATACCATATTCTTAGATTTATTGCATATTGCAAAAAAACTAGGTAGTAGGTAATTGATTCTAGAATCACTAGTTAAATTACTTTGACATTGAAGATGGAAAGAGGGTTGATAGTAGTGAGGAGAAACAATTTAAATTCACTCGTTTTATTTTAATAATAAAATTCATCCATCAACCACTGTGGCAATATCGTGGGTCCCATTGGAGACTTGTAGGTCCTGTCACTCTCAAATATTGCATGACACACTCTTCACTCACTCTCTTTGGCATGGACGAGGAAGCAATGCCCTGACGCTCTGTCTCACTATGTGTCCACGTGATCCATCCCCACTCTGTGTCCACTAGAGACATGCTATGCACAGTATCTCACTGTGTCCACTAGAGCACTGCCATGCACAGCATAGTACTGTGTATTCACCGAAATATTACTGTGAAAAGAAGCTAAGCTATCCTGTTTGTACAATCACCTTTGTACTTTTCTTAAAAGCAGCTATCTTACCTACAAGTAAGATGACTCTTAAAAGCAGCTATCTTACTTACAAGTAAGATGACTCTTAAAATCAGCTATCTTACCTACAAGTAAGATGACTCTTAAAAGCAGCTATCTTACCTCCAAGTAAGATAACTCTTAAAAGCAGCTATCTTACCTACAAGTAAGATGGCTCTTAAAATCAGCTATCTTACCTAAAAGTTAGATGACTCTTAAAAGCAGCTATCTTTCCTACAAGTAAGATGACTTAAAAGCAGCTATCTTTCCTACAAGTAAGATGACTTAAAAGCAGCTATCTTTCCTACAAGTAAGATGACTTAAAAGCAGCTATCTTTCCTACAAGTAAGATGACTTAAAAACAGCTATCTTACCTACAAGTAAGATACTCTTAAAAGCAGCTATCTTACCTACAAGTAAGATGACTTAAAAACAGCTATCTTACCTAAAAGTTAGATGACTCTTAAAAGCAGCTATCTTTCCTACAAGTAAGATGACTTAAAAGCAGCTATCTTTCCTACAAGTAAGATGACTTAAAAGCAGCTATCTTTCCTACAAGTAAGATGACTTAAAAACAGCTATCTTACCTACAAGTAAGATGACTGCTCTTCTTGACAAGCTGTTAATTTCTCTCGTCACTAATGAAAGTCGCTGGCATGACTGTACTGTCCGACACATCGCTCAGGCCTCTTAAGTCTGGAAGTGTTGAACGATTGTGCAGATAACTGTTGTGTGGTTGACCTGTGCTTCTGCCTGTACCGTACACCCTTCACGAAGGTCAGGCCAGGGTCAGGTCATGTCAGGTTAGGTCTGGTCAGGTCAGGTCAGGTCAGGTCACTACCTATGACTCGCCTGTTTAATATGGAATTAAATTGGGTCGGAAATATTTCCACATTATTATAATGGGTATCGTTGTGTGTGTTTTTATATCATATGTTTGTTTTTATTGAAGGGAGAGTGGGGATTTTTGGTAGTTTGGTACGAGAGAATGGGAAATGTGGTAGATACTGGTCGACTGTGATACTAGACTGAGGAATATGAGTGTGGTTTCAACGAATTAGAAATTTTAACTCTATATATTTTTGGGGGGTTATGATCATAGTGTGGTGGTATAGTGATCATAGTAGTTACATTAATGTCGTGGTCATCATTGTTTTGGTGTTGATGGTGATGGCGTTGGTGATAATGGTGGTGGTGGTGGTAATGGTGGTAGTGGTGGTTATGGTGATAGCGGTACTGGTACTGGTAGTGGTTTTTGTTGGTGGCTCTAATAGAAGAGGTAGATGTAGTGATGGTGGAGATAGGGATGGTGGTAGTGATGGTGGAGATAGAAATCAGTGATCATACCCCCACATAAAACGGGGACGGGTGTGGCAGTAGAAGTGGGTGCTGCCAGTAACTGGTGTATGTGGTGATGGTGGTAGAGATCAACTGCGGGTCGCCTGGTGTGATGTTCAACGGGTGGCTGGAAGGTTCAAGCTCCACCTTCGAGGCGGTGGTGAAGCCCCGCTGTAACGACAACATGAAGTACGAGGGCCACCCGGAGCGTCATCTCATCTGCCAGGAGAACGGCACATGGTCGCACTCACTGCCCAAATGCTTCGGTAGGTAGGGCCGAGCCAGCTGCGGTCGACTCATGCCACCTACGGCACGCCTGCACATTGCTCTCTGCATTGCCTTTTGCATCCATGCACAGCTGCAGAAGCACCAGCAACAGCAGCAGTAACAAGAGCATTATGAATGCATGATTTGTCTCACTTTGCCTATTCACTGAGGATTCCATAGCCAAATTATTTGAAGAATTTACCCACGTTTCCACTGCATGATTGACAATTGACCAGTCGCAATCACAGTTGCATTTATAATGTCTACTCTTCGTGTAGTATATTTGGCTATGGAACTTCTGTGGCTCTTGCCTTGTGTACTGATACAGAGAGGAAGCCTCGACCCTCAAGTGGAACTGCAGACTGAAGGAGGAGGATGTATCTGGTAGGGGCGCCATGTTTCTGCCTCTTACACCTTCGCTGTGTTGATCTTGTTGCACAACTTTGCATTTCTTTTGCTGCACAACTTTGCATTTCTCTTGCTGCACAACTTTGCATGTCCATATTCCTTTTGTCTTTTGCACTTTTATCCTCCACTACAAACTTATTTCCGCGATATGAGGCCAGAGGTGAGTATCCTACCGGGTTGTGCCCCCAGAGATCAACTGCGGACACCCCGGGCATCTGTCCAACGGCTGGTTGGAAAACATCGACCAGGGGACGGCTCTTGGCGCCTCCATCATCTTCAGATGTTTCCCCAACATGACCATCGAGGGTGACCAGTCGACAGTGTGTCAGGCCGACGGCTCCTGGAGCAAGCCACTGCCTATGTGCCTGGGTAAGTCTTACCTCTCATACGTTGACTCAACCGATTAACTCTAGAACATAGGGAGAAGGGAGGCGAGGGGCCGGTGGTCGGGCTGTGAATTGTGTCCAAGACACAAGGCAAAAGGGAGGTTGCAAGAGGATAGTAAGAGGACTGTCTATGAATGGGTGAGAGTACAGTGGATGGACATATTGTCCGTTTAAGACCTCGGTGGATAGATTGTCTTTATGCGGGATACATAAGGGGGATGGAAAGCCTTAAGTGGTTTGTTTGTAAGAAACCTCAGAGCTTCAGTGAAACCTCAGAACCTCAGTATAACCTCAGTGTCTGTACACGGGGTCACCAAAGTGGCTGGGATGTCATTATCTTCAGAAGACGTTAAGTGAACGAGTTACTGAAGGAATTACTTGCATAAGGACAATGTAAGTGAAGATAATACCTGTAAGTGGAGGTTTAAAGAGCTAAGTTGCCTTTACGAATATGACGTAAGTTGAGGAGGTGAATGTTCGCAAGAAAGCTAATTCCCTAAGCAGTCTGCACATGGGAGACACCTGACTAACCTGCCCACACCTGGGAGATCCAGGTGTGACAGTAATTACGTGGGACTTCAAGGTAAACAAGTTTCCCTTACAAGGAATACCCAGAGGTGGGAAACTTTTATGCAAATATTTTTATGTACAAATGCCTCTAATGATATATATATACTGCACCCTTTGTTTAACGCTATGCTAACTAAGCACCTTTTGAATCTTGCATATCAGTTAGAAGTAAGGCGGTGTTGAACAAAAATTTAGATTTAAAGTGGAGAAACCCTTCTCAATTTTTATTTATTACAAACACACACACACACACACACACACACACACACACACACACACACACACACACACACACACACACACACACACACACACACACACACACACACACACACACACACATTATATATATAAAACTGAAAACTCCACATGAATGTATGTATATATAATGTAGCGTGACTATGTGACCTAACACCAACGGTCTGGGTGTGTCGACAGCGCCGTGCATTGTGCCCACTATTGAGCACGGTGGGCTGCGCAACGCCACGCCCTCGGGGGCTCAAGTAGAGCACGGCAGCACCATCGACGTCCAGTGCGATGAGAACTTCGAACTGGCCTACAGTCTCGCTCCCTCCCTCTGCTACAACGGCACCTGGACCAACTACCCTCGCTGCCAGCCAGGTCAGCACTCAACTCACTTGCAACAGTTGAAGTTGCAGAGGATAAAATGGCAAATTGATACTGCAAATTTGCAATCGAATTGTGATTGAGGTAATGTTAATTATTCGTTATGTTAAAACAACGCTTGATTCTCCTTTTTTCCTTGTGGTCAGCCCGCTGCAAGAAGCTGCCGGAGCGACCTCGTCACGGTATGGTGATTGCTCCCAAGACTGACCATGGCAAGAAGGCTCGCTACCGCTGTAAGGACGGCTACGAGCTCCAAGGACCAACGACTACCAGATGCCACTACGGTAACTGGACCGGTGTCACCCCCAAGTGCCAGGAAGGTGAGAAGGGCCAACACTCCAGGAGGAGGGGCAACACACCAGGGGGAGGGGCAACACACCAGGGGGGGCAACACACCAGGGAGGGCCAACACACCAGGTAGGAACAACACACCAGGGAGGGCCAACACACCAGGGAGGCCCAACACACCAGGGGGGCCAACACACCAGGGAGGACCAACACACCAGGGGGGCCAACACACCAGGGAGGATCAACACACCAGGGGGGCCAACACACCAGGGAGGATCAACACACCAGGAGGGGGCCAACACACCAGGGAGGACCAACACACCAGGGGGGCCAACACACCAGGGAGGATCAACACACCAGGGGGGGCCAACACACCAGGGAGGGCCAACACACCAGGGAGGACCAACACACCAGGAGGATCAACACACCAGGGAGGGCCAACACACCAGGGAGGGCCAACACACCAGGGAGGACCAACACACCAGGGGGGCCAACACACCAGGGGAGCCAACACACCAGGGGAGCCAACACACCAGGGAGAGCCAACACACCAGGGGAGCCAACACACCAGGGAGGACCAACACACCAGGGAGGACCAACACACCAGGGAGGACCAACACACCAGGGGGGACCAACACACCAGGGAGGACCAACACACCAGGGGGGGCCAACACACCAGGGGGGCCAACACACCAGGGAGGACCAACACACCAGGGAGGACCAACACACCAGGGTGGACCAACACACCAGGGAGGACCAACACACCAGGGAGGACCAACACACCAGGGAGGACCAACACACCAGGGAGGACCAACACACCAGGGGGGGCCAACACACCAGGGGAGCCAACACACCAGGGAGAGCCAACACACCAGGGGAGCCAACACACCAGGGAGGACCAACACACCAGGGGGGACCAACACACCAGGGAGGACCAACACACCAGGGAGGGCCAACACACCAGGGAGGACCAACACACCAGGGGAGCCAACACACCAGGGTGGACCAACACACCAGGGAGGACCAACACACCAGGGAGGACCAACACACCAGGGGGGGCCAACACACCAGGGGGGCCAACACACCAGGGAGGACCAACACACCAGGGAGGACCAACACACCAGGGTGGACCAACACACCAGGGAGGACCAACACACCAGGGAGGACCAACACACCAGGGGGGCCAACACACCAGGGGGGGCCAACACACCAGGGGGGACCAACACACCAGGGTGGACCAACACACCAGGGAGGACCAACACACCAGGGAGGACCAACACACCAGGGAGGACCAACACACCAGGGAGGACCAACACACCAGGGGGGCCAACACACCAGGGGGGGCCAACACACCAGGGAGGACCAACACACCAGGGAGGACCAACACACCAGGGAGGGCCAACACACCAGGGGGGCCAACACACCAGGGGGGGCCAACACACCAGGGAGGACCAACACACCAGGGAGGGCCAACACACCAGGGGGGCCAACACACCAGGGGGGGCCAACACACCAGGGAGGACCAACACACCAGGGAGGACCAACACACCAGGGGAGCCAACACACCAGGGGGGCCAACACACCAGGGAGGACCAACACACCAGGGAGGACCAACACACCAGGGAGGACCAACACACCAGGGAGGACCAACACACCAGGGTGGACCAACACACCAGGGAGGACCAACACACCAGGGAGGACCAACACACCAGGGTGGACCAACACACCAGGGTGGACCAACACACCAGGGGGGCCAACACACCAGGGAGGACCAACACACCAGGGGGGACCAACACACCAGGGTGGACCAACACACCAGGGAGGACCAACACACCAGGGAGGACCAACACACCAGGGAGGACCAACACACCAGGGAGGACCAACACACCAGGGAGGACCAACACACCAGGGAGGACCAACACACCAGGGAGGACCAACACACCTGGGGGGACCAACACACCAGGGAGGACCAACACACCAGGGAGGACCAACACACCAGGGAGGACCAACACACCAGGGAGGACCAACACACCAGGGAGGACCAACACACCAGGGTGGACCAACACACCAGGGTGGACCAACACACCAGGGAGGACCAACACACCAGGGTGGACCAACACACCAGGGTGGACCAACACACCAGGGAGGACCAACACACCAGGGAGGACCAACACACCAGGGAGGACCAACACACCAGGGAGGACCAACACACCAGGGAGGACCAACACACCAGGGAGGACCAACACACCAGGGGGACCAACACACCAGGGAGGACCAACACACCAGGGAGGACCAACACACCAGGGTGGACCAACACACCAGGGTGGACCAACACACCAGGGGGGACCAACACACCAGGGGGACCAACACACCAGGGGGAGGACCAACACACCAGGGGGGACCAACACACCAGGGGGACCAACACACCAGGGGGGCCAACACACCAGGGAGGACCAACACACCAGGGAGGACCAACACACCAGGGAGGACCAACACACCAGGGAGGACCAACACACCAGGGAGGACCAACACACCAGGGAGGACCAACACACCAGGGGGACCAACACACCAGGGTGGACCAACACACCAGGGAGGACCAACACACCAGGGAGGACCAACACACCAGGGGGGACCAACACACCAGGGAGGACCAACACACCAGGGAGGACCAACACACCAGGGGGGTCAACACACCAGGGAGGACCAACACACCAGGGAGGACCAACACACCAGGGAGGGCCAACACACCAGGGAGGACCAACACACCAGGGAGGACCAACACACCAGGGGGGGCCAACACACCAGGGGGGGCCAACACACCAGGGAGGGCCAACACACCAGGGAGGACCAACACACCAGGGAGGACCAACACACCAGGGAGGACCAACACACCAGGGGGGACCAACACACCAGGGGGGCCAACACACCAGGGAGGACCAACACACCAGGGGGGCCAACACACCAGGGAGGGCCAACACACCAGGGAGAGCCAACACACCAGGGAGGGCCAACACACCAGGGGGGACCAACACACCAGGGACGGCCAACACACCAGGGAGGGCCAACACACCAGGGGGGACCAACACACCAGGGAGGACCAACACACCAGGGGGGCCAACACACCAGGGAGGACCAACACACCAGGGGGGCCAACACACCAGGGGGGGCCAACACACCAGGGGGGGCCAACACACCAGGGAGGACCAACACACCAGGGAGGACCAACACACCAGGGAGGACCAACACACCAGGGAGGACCAACACACCAGGGGGGGCCAACACACCAGGGGGGGCCAACACACCAGGGAGGACCAACACACCAGGGAGGACCAACACACCAGGGGGGCCAACACACCAGGGAGGACCAACACACCAGGGGGGCCAACACACCAGGGTGGACCAACACACCAGGGTGGACCAACACACCAGGGGGGCCAACACACCAGGGGGGGCCAACACACCAGGGAGGACCAACACACCAGGGGGGCCAACACACCAGGGAGGACCAACACACCAGGGGGGCCAACACACCAGGGTGGACCAACACACCAGGGTGGACCAACACACCAGGGAGGACCAACACACCAGGGAGGACCAACACACCAGGGAGGACCAACACACCAGGGAGGACCAACACACCAGGGAGGACCAACACACCAGGGAGGACCAACACACCAGGGAGGACCAACACACCAGGGAGGACCAACACACCAGGGAGGACCAACACACCAGGGGGGGCCAACACACCAGGGGGGGCCAACACACCAGGGGGGACCAACACACCAGGGGGGACCAACACACCAGGGAGGACCAACACACCAGGGAGGACCAACACACCAGGGAGGACCAACACACCAGGGAGGACCAACACACCAGGGGGACCAACACACCAGGGGGGGCCAACACACCAGGGGGGCCAACACACCAGGGGGGGGTGGACCAACACACCAGGGGGACCAACACACCAGGACCAACACACCAGGGTGGACCAACACACCAGGGAGGACCAACACACCAGGGAGGACCAACACACCAGGGAGGACCAACACACCAGGGAGGACCAACACACCAGGGTGGACCAACACACCAGGGAGGACCAACACACCAGGGAGGACCAACACACCAGGGAGGACCAACACACCAGGGAGGACCAACACACCAGGGGGGACCAACACACCAGGGGGACCAACACACCAGGGAGGACCAACACACCAGGGGGCCAACACACCAGGACCAACACACCAGGGAGGACCAACACACCAGGGAGGACCAACACACCAGGGAGGACCAACACACCAGGGAGGACCAACACACCAGGGAGGACCAACACACCAGGGGGGGACCAACACACCAGGGGGGGGCCAACACACCAGGGGGGACCAACACACCAGGGGGACCAACACACCAGGGGGGACCAACACCAGGGAGGACCAACACACCAGGGAGGACCAACACACCAGGGAGGACCAACACACCAGGGGACCAACACACCAGGGGACCAACACACCAGGGAGGGCCAACACACCAGGGGGGCCAACACACCAGGGGGGGCCAACACACCAGGGGGGACCAACACACCAGGGTGGACCAACACACCAGGGAGGACCAACACACCAGGGTGGACCAACACACCAGGGAGGACCAACACACCAGGGAGGACCAACACACCAGGGTGGACCAACACACCAGGGTGGACCAACACACCAGGGTGGACCAACACACCAGGGAGGACCAACACACCAGGGAGGACCAACACACCAGGGGGGGCCAACACACCAGGGGGGACCAACACACCAGGGTGGACCAACACACCAGGGAGGACCAACACACCAGGGAGGGCCAACACACCAGGGAGGACCAACACACCAGGGGGGACCAACACACCAGGGGGGCCAACACACCAGGGAGGACCAACACACCAGGGGGGACCAACACACCAGGGTGGACCAACACACCAGGGAGGACCAACACACCAGGGAGGACCAACACACCAGGGGGGCCAACACACCAGGGGGGGCCAACACACCAGGGGGGCCAACACACCAGGGAGGACCAACACACCAGGGAGGACCAACACACCAGGGGAGCCAACACACCAGGGAGGACCAACACACCAGGGAGGGCCAACACACCAGGGAGGACCAACACACCAGGGGGGCCAACACACCAGGGGGGGCCAACACACCAGGGGGGACCAACACACCAGGGTGGACCAACACACCAGGGAGGACCAACACACCAGGGGGGACCAACACACCAGGGGGGCCAACACACCAGGGGGGGCCAACACACCAGGGGGGACCAACACACCAGGGTGGACCAACACACCAGGGAGGACCAACACACCAGGGAGGGCCAACACACCAGGGAGGACCAACACACCAGGGGGGGGCCAACACACCAGGGGGACCAACACACCAGGGAGGACCAACACACCAGGGTGGACCAACACACCAGGGAGGACCAACACACCAGGGGGGGCCAACACACCAGGGGGGACCAACACACCAGGGAGGACCAACACACCAGGGTGGACCAACACACCAGGGGGGGCCAACACACCAGGGGGGACCAACACACCAGGGAGGACCAACACACCAGGGAGGACCAACACACCAGGGGGGGCCAACACACCAGGGAGGACCAACACACCAGGGAGGACCAACACACCAGGGAGGACCAACACACCAGGGAGGACCAACACACCAGGGAGGACCAACACACCAGGGAGGACCAACACACCAGGGAGGACCAACACACCAGGGGGGCCAACACACCAGGGGGGGCCAACACACCAGGGAGGACCAACACACCAGGGAGGACCAACACACCAGGGGAGCCAACACACCAGGGAGGACCAACACACCAGGGAGGGCCAACACACCAGGGAGGATCAACACACCAGGGAGAGCCAACACACCAGGGGAGCCAACACACCAGGGAGGACCAACACACCAGGGAGGGCCAACACACCAGGGGGGGCAACACACCAGGGGGGGCCAACACACCAGGGAGGACCAACACACCAGGGAGGACCAACACACCAGGGAGGACCAACACACCAGGGAGGACCAACACACCAGGAGGAGGGGCAACACACCAGGGAGGACCAACACACCAGGGAGGGCCAACACACCAGGGAGGGCCAACACACCAGGGAGGACCAACACACCAGGGAGGGCCAACACACCAGGGAGGACCAACACACCAGGGTGGACCAACACACCAGGGGGGCCAACACACCAGGGAGGACCAACACACCAGGGAGGACCAACACACCAGGGAGGACCAACACACCAGGGAGGACCAACACACCAGGGAGGGCCAACACACCCAACACACCAGGGAGGACCAACACACCAGGGAGGACCAACACACCAGGGGGGCCAACACACCAGGGACCAACACACCACCAACACACCAGGGGGACCAACACACCAGGACCAACACACCAGGGGAGCCAACACACCAGGGGGGCCAACACACCAGGGAGGACCAACACACCAGGGAGGCCAACACACCAGGGGGATCAACACACCAGGGCCAACACACCAGGGAGGACCAACACACCAGGGAGGATCAACACACCAGGGAGGACCAACACACCAGGGAGCCAACACACCAGGGAGGACCAACACACCAGGGAGGACCAACACACCAGGGAGGACCAACACACCAGGGGAGCCAACACACCAGGGAGGCCAACACACCAGGGAGAGCCAACACACCAGGGAGGACCAACACACCAGGGAGGACCAACACACCAGGGAGGACCAACACACCAGGGAGGACCAACACACCAGGGAGGACCAACACACCTGGGAGGACCAACACACCAGGGAGGACCAACACACCAGGGAGGACCAACACACCAGGGAGGACCAACACACCAGGGGAGGCCAACACACCAGGGAGGACCAACACACCAGGGAGGACCAACACACCAGGGGAGCCAACACACCAGGGAGGACCAACACACCAGGGGAGCCAACACACCAGGGAGGACCAACACACCAGGGAGGACCAACACACCAGGGAGGACCAACACACCAGGGAGGATCAACACACCAGGGAGGACCAACACACCAGGGGAGCCAACACACCAGGGAGGACCAACACACCAGGGGAGCCAACACACCAGGGAGGACCAACACACCAGGGAGGGCCAACACACCAGGGAGGACCAACACACCAGGGAGGACCAACACACCAGGGAGGACCAACACACCAGGGAGGACCAACACACCAGGGAGGACCAACACACCAGGGAGGACCAACACACCAGGGAGGACCAACACACCAGGGAGGACCAACACACCAGGGAGGATCAACACACCAGGGTGGATCAACACACCAGGGAGGACCAACACACCAGGGAGGATCAACACACCAGGGAGG